TTTCCCTCTCCATATTTTCTTACACCACACTTCAAAACTCTGTCCTCTTCCCAAAGCCATGCCTGTTGAAAAACAGAAGTTACTCAAATAAATATTCATGAAAGAGAATATATCTGTTGCAAATGTTATGTTTGCAAAGCAATGTCTAGTTTCTTAAAAATGAAAAAAATTTAATATACTTTTGTATATAAGAACACATACACCCACATGGTTTTACAAAACCTTACTTAGCGTTACTGTGTAACATTTTAGGGTCATTTTACAGAATCTGTGACAGGACAGCTAAACTATCATCTTACACAGCTTTCACCTTACTCTTGCCCAGATTTTCACTCCACATTTCTCACAGCACTCATAACTATTTAGTATTTCACTGATGAACTCAGTGTAAATTCTGCTCTATCTGTTTTGGGGGAGGTACACACATTCACAAAAGTACAAGTCTTCTGTAAGACAGTCTTCCAAAAACACAACTACCATTAATTGAAACACAATTTAAGATGAGAGAAAATGCTGAAAATAATCTTGAATGAAATCTAATAGTTTGTATAGAGAAAGTATTAACACTTAATATTTGGTATAGGCAATCAATTGTTACTTCTTTTGGAATGACAGAAGGGGGTTTGAGTGTCTAACACTATTTGTACACTAATGCTCGCAGCTGTATTACAACACTAAAATGAGGAAGCAAGTCAGGTATTCATTAATGAATAGATGAATTTGCAACATATAATAAATAAGGAATACCATTTATCCTTCAAAGGGAAATTCTGACAATATACATAAGCAGTAAGAATATTATTTTGCATGAAATAATGTAGATATGAAAGACAAGTACAGGGGCTAGAGAGATGCCCAGTGGTTCAAAGCACTTGTTGCTTGTCCAGAAGACCTAGGTTCAGTTCTCAGCATCCATATGGTAGTTTACAACTATCTGTAACTCATGTTCTAAAGGACCCAATGGCCTCTTTTGACCTGTTTGGCATCAGGTATGCTTGAAGTACACACACACACACACACACACACACACACACACACACACACACGTATATTCACATAAAATAAATAAATCTTAAAATAAAGAATAAAAGTGCTATACGATTTCACTGATATGAAGTGCCTAGAATGGTCAAACTCAAGAGATAAGCAATAAAAATGGCAGTTACCAAGCATGGAAGAAAAAGGGGAAAGGAAGACTGTTTTAATGTGTCCAGAGTTTGTTTTGAAAGATCTGGATTATAGTGATGATATGAAAATATGAATGTTTAATGCTGCTACACTACACACTTAAAAATGATTAAGATGTGATGGAGGGAGGGTTCAGCATTTAAGAGCATATTTTGCTCTTACAAAGGATCTGAGTTTTGTTCTCAGAATTGTGATGGGTGGTTTACAACCACTTGTAATTCCAGCTACAGGGAACCCGACACTTTAAGTGCCTTAATCACATGCACAGAGCCCTACCAAAAAAAAAATATATATATAATTAAAAATAATAATTAAAAATCTTAAGATGATAAATTTAACATTTTGCATATTTTAATGCAATTTGAAAAAATATAAGATTCATATTAGAAATTTCTGGAATTAAAAAAAAACAAAAAACAAAACTCAAGGTTGCCTGAAGACAAATATGAGATGAAAGCTGTCTTACAGATGACTGAATACCAGAGAAACTGGCACTGACCATAGCTACAATGCTTGTAGGTTTGTATGAACAACCATTAGCCTGTATCTTCTATTTTGTACCTTCAAAATGATATAATTCATGTTAAAAGAAAAGATTTTATAATAACTCACATTATGTAATCTTTATGTGTAGGGGGTTTGTTTACTTTTGAAAGTCATTTACTTTTTCCTTCAGTGGAAAAAATTATTAAAATTTTCTACAAATTTTAATCAGGCAGGCTCAAGTACTTTTGTTTAACAGACAAGAAAACAAAGCTATCCAAGCAGGCATTAAGTAATTTAAATTAAAAAAAATTAAACAACTGAAAGCCCCAATGCATCAAAAAATTAAATGTGTCAGCCATCTTCTGAAACAAGTTCTCTTCACAAAGTCAATAGTGGGCAGATGAAAAATAAAACCAGATGTCGGAAGTGTTCATATTAACTTTTGTGGCAAAGGAAATAGTGGCATAATCAATACCTGTATGTTCTACAGATTATATGGTAGATAGATACCTTCCCTACAGGAGAAAAACTGTTCTCTTATAGTTATCTATAAATGACAACTGAATCTATTCTCAAATCCCACTGGGAAAGATTGTGTGCAGCAGAAATTTCTGATGTCCAGTCTGACAAGCAAAGCACTTGGAACGCACCACTCCCATTCCCAAAGGGAAAATGCAATAACCTGAAAACTAGACTTTTTATATCCATCAGAGAATTAGTCATGGGCAAACAGAGGAGAATCAAAGCAATTGCTCCTGAAAATTGGTTATGGTGAATGCCTGTAATCTTAGCACTAGAGAGGTAAAGGAAGGAAAAGCAAGGATTCAAGGGCAGCCTTGGCTACATAAAAAGTTTGAGAGCAGCCTGAGCTACATGATAGCATATTTAAAATTAAAAACAATAAATTTACAGGGAGCAGAGTGCAGGAACAAAAGTTCACAGCTGGAGTCATTTCTAGCAGGGACAATGAACTAGAAGTGAGCTAATGGCAGTTAATGTTTATGAACCTCACAGTGAAAAATTCAAGGGGCCCAAGACTTAAGTTTGACTTCCTTGATCTCCACCATGTTTCAGGATAAAGATAATACAAAATCCATTGCTACTTGTGTCGGGGAAGGGGAGAATAGTATTCTGAAATACTCCCAAGTTCAAAATACTTCCAGAGCATTGCATTTTCCACAGTGGATACCTGTTTTCAAATAATCTAATTTTACAAAATCCTAATGGACGATCTGTACACCCCTCTAGATTTCCTCTTTCACTCAAGGTGTAGTGGTGGTAAGGAGACAAGATGCATTCACGAAGACAGCCCAGTACAAACATGTACACACACACACACACACACACACACACACACACACACACACACAGCCCAGTACAAACATGTACACACACACACACACACACACACACACACACACACACACACACACACACGAGGCCTAGAGATTAGACTACATTATCAACTTGAATGAAAGTGGTCTTATGTAACCCAGCATAAAAATAAAAACAAACAAACAAAAAATCAACTAACCAAACAAACAGAACAATGAAAAGGAATAATGGGCTGATGAACTAGCTCATTGGTACAGCAGCACTTGTTTAGTATGTACAGGTCCTACCCACAACATGTTGATGTACAGGAAGCAAATCAAAGTAGCTATTGATTGTTTTTAACTACTATGCTATTAGGATAGACATCTATGCAAAATAACTTTGAGCCACAGGAAATGATCCTAGTGGTCTAATTCTCAAAGTTCTTACACTTGAAATGATCCAAGTGCAAATGTGTTGGAAAAAAAATAAAACACATCTTAAATTGAGTAGAAAAAATGTTCCAGACATAGTAAAACAACAAGGACTAGATTTATTGATCTGTTATCAAGAATTAGAAAATCTGATAAACTACATCAACAGTTTCAGATACTGAAAAAAAAATAGCATTCTGACTACACTAATGTACACGAACCCTGAAGCTGACCCAGAGTTAATAAAATCTAATCAAAGCCAGACTTAGTGGCGCACACCTTTAATCCCAGCAGAGGCAGAGGTGGAGAGGCGGACAGGTATGGAGAGGCAGAGGCGGGCAAATCTCTGAGTTTGGGGCTAGCTTGGTCTACAGAGCAAGTCCCAGGACAGGCAGAGCTACATAGACAAACCCTGTGTCAAAAGACCAAACCAAAAACAAACCCAAAACAACAACAAAAAGTGATCTTCTATGTGGTTTTTAAGTGCTTAGAATCTTATTTAAGTTAGATGTACTAGAAAAACTTGAAACACCTTAATGTTTATAAATGTTATTCAAATATGGTGAAAAATACCTGTTTTTTCTTACGCTTGTGTTGTCCATTAATGTCTGGCTGATTCTTTGACATACATAATGTACTGCTTCCAGCCGTTCTTACATTTCTTTTTGTTGTTATCTCACCTATGGATAAAAACACTAACATTAAATACGGTTTCACAATAGAGGAAAGGGTGGACTTTGTGTGTGTGTGTGTGTGTGTACATATACATGACAAAATGTAAATTAAAAACCATGTATTTATAAGCAAATTTTATACACCAAAGAAATAACAGGACAACATTCATTCATGGATGACATAATTGGCCCTTCTCATGCTCATGATCTGTGTTATAACATAATTTCAAGTAAAATTTTCAATCAGGCTCTTTGTATAACTTGACAAGATTCTAGCATCTACCATGGTTCCTGTAGTTCTTTATGAATATGCAAAGCTCTTTCACCTCCTCACACTGTAGTTTCCAAAGCTACTCATAGGTGGGCAATTAAATAGATGAAGGAAGTCACACAGATAGGCTGTGGAGTATACTAGCTTATTTCTACTACAATGTCTTATAGCTTTTTTAGAAAGTGTTACACACTAGGCTGAGAGTTGAAATAAAACTTGCTGTCTTGAAATCATTCACTTGGACCCATTACATTGTCCACGAGACTTGAAGTCAGTACAACTACACTTAGATCACGCAGTTATTACAAAGAAACAGTTACTGAGATATAACAGCATGTTGTAGGAATTCACGAAGACCCAACCATATTGGAAACTTCATATTTATACTGGTTGGATTCCAGTCAGGAAAATGGGAATGCCATGAGCTACAAACAAAAATCTTAGTACTGGAAAGAGTGTTTAAACAGTGCTAGAATTGGAGAGCAGAGTAAGCATAAATAGACAAATTCATAATTATAACTAGATATTTTAACACTTTTCTCTCAGCAGCTTTTAGAACATACAGGTAGGAAATAAGAAGGAACTAGAACATCAGAATGGCACTATTACATAGTTGACCAATGACACCTTTAAACATCCCATTTAATAAAAGAATACATATTCTTCTCAGGTGTGCATCAACAACAATCACCAAGACAAATCAACAGTGGGATGGGCCATTAAAGAAAAATCCTTTAAGGGGCTGCTCAGAGGATTCAGTAAGTATGAGTTTTTAGTATGCAGCCTCGTTTTCCTGGTGGAAAGACAGAACAGACTCCTAAAAGCTGTCCTCCGACAACTGACACTTCGGATGCTACAAGCAGAAAGATTGATGGCTGCAAGTTCATGGCCAGCTTAGGATATAGGTCTCTTTTTGTGTACAAACTATTCTCAGACCATAACAGAATTAAGCTGAAAACCAGTAATAGAAAGATATATGAAATACCATTCATTTACTTAGAAATTAAACTAGCAAGTTCAAATAATCCATAAATCTAGCAAAGTCTGAAAAGAAGTAAAAAAAATCACTTTAATTAAATGGAAACCCAAAACCAAAACAGTAATTAAGAGGGATTTCTAGCATTCAGTGCATGACTAGGAAAACCCAGTCGTGTAAGAGAAAAATAACTTATACATAAAGACGGGAACAGTCATGTTAACGTCAGACTTCTCCACTGTAGCAACTCAAAATCTACTTGCTTGTGAAGCTATGACCAAAAAGAACTTCTAAAAAGTATTATACTTAGACAAGAAGTTTTAAAGAAAAAAAAAGACAATAGTTTTTGGCATATAAGAAATTTGGAAATTAGAGACTTAAAAAAGATTCAGACAAAATAGGAAATAAAGTAAAGACACAAGGAAAAGGGAATCAAGATTGAAGGATTCATGGAGAATAACTTAAATCAATGAAGTAGACTTCCATAGGGACTGTATTAAGAGCACAATGCTACAACCTGATCACATAAAATGTAAGAACTAGGCATGGTGCCATACACAAGTACTTCCAGAACTCAAGAGGCCAAATAAGAGAATCAAGAGTTTGAGAGAGGACTAGACTACACTGCCAGACTCTGAACTGAACAAGATTATTTTAATTTAGGTTGGTAAAACAACCAAAAACAGGTAATTAAGAAAAACAGAAGATTGGCTTTTGGGGAAAGATTTTTGCTTAAATCAGTCCACACTCTAAAGCTTATATTTATAATCACAGACACAAGTAGAACCAATACTTAAGACACAAGTAGAAGCCAAGCATTTCGTATTCTTTATTCAAACTTTAAAAACTACATTCATACAGCTGGAGAGATGGCTCAGAGGTTAAGAGCACTGGCTGCTTTTCCAGATAGGCCTGAGTTCTATTCCCAGCAACCACATGGTTGCTCACAACTATCTGTAGTGAGATCTGGTGCCCTCTTCTGGTATGCAGGTGTACATGCAGGCATTGTATACAAAATAAAATAAATAAATCTTTAAAAAAACAGAACTACATTCATTCATTTATGTGTGGGCATGCACATGTGTGCCTGTGGAGTTCAGAGGACAACATGGAACACTTGCATATATTTTATTCAGCCATGCATTATAATGCTGCTGGCAATGATTCGACATTAATGAGCCAACACCAGAGTGTCTTCAAATAGAAACAAACATAAAACAAGACTGTATATTGATTAGTTGATAAAAATGTTACTGAAGAGCAAAGAAACCTAACCCTTTGTATTTTCCCTTTAATTGCTGATTCAGAATTCACTTATTCAATGTGAATAATGAGCTTTGATTGCATTTATCACTCAAGTCTGAAGTTGCTGAATACAGCTAAGCAGAAAAACAGTGCCACTCTCATCGCCAAACAAATCAGACTAGACCACCCACGCCAGCTAGCTTTGTAAAGCCAGCTTCTTCTGAGGTACTGTGCTGAAGCGGTAAGACAGCAAGTATGTCCTCTCTACTTCCAAAACTATAGTGACAGTACTCACTTTGAATAGCTGTCATTCTTGCTTCTTTATTATTGAAATCTGGTTGACTGCTGCCGTGTTTCAGCTTAGACAAGACATTCTTGTGAGACCTAAAAGACACCAGAGCTTGTGACTAATTCCAGAGACCAGCCTTTGCTATAGGATCTTCTATACAGGCCTGTTTGTCTTGTTGCTCTCCTTAGTCACCCATGTTACCTTTTAATATTCCTATCGTCAAACTTCCCTTTGCTTCATCTTTCTACAGCTCATGTACTCAGAAATCAAGATTCTGTCACTTTTCCAAATAGACTGAAGGAGAAAACCAAACCAAATCAAAATAACTCCCAAACTGCAGAGAATTTATTTTCCTTCTCTCCTGTGAGTTCTACATCATTTTCTGCAGGAAAAATTTTCAAAATTTCTTCATCTAATGGTAGATCACTTACTTTATAGCTTCCAAGACTTTTTTTAAGGTAAGGTTATACTAGAAATAATGGATGTGGCATCTTTTTTTAACAATCCTGCAAAGCTAGCATTATTCTAATTTTATATAGAAGCAAATTAGAACCTAAAAATCAGTGTGCCTAATCTTGTAGGTATGTTACCCCAACCTAATATGTAGACATTTTAGCTCTACTTTTATCCACAAAACACTCTACGATTAGCTAGCAAATCCTTTCACACCTTTCCTCTCCTGAAAGGTTCTATTGTATTCTCTAGAACGCTATTGTCAAACTCTTCAAACTCTTCACCGATAAGTCTAGCTCCCAACTCCACTCCCACCTCACGTTGGGACAATATTATTCTCCTTTTGACCTTTTCAAGAAGAAAGCTTAATCTTTAACCCCCATAATGGGTCACATGATAGGTCTTCACGTGGTTTGCTTTTACAATGCTCAGGATAGAACCTAGGTCCTCCTTACACATGCTAAGCAAGGGCTCTATCATTGAGCTCTATTACCAATTCCATTAGTTTTTACTTCGTTTTTCTTTTTCTTTATTAATTACACTTTACTCACTTTGTATCCCCCCCTCCCGTGGTTCCCTTCCTCCTCCAGTCCTGATCCCTCCCTTCCTCCACCCTCTGAATGTGTGCCCCTCCCCAAGTCCATTGATAGGGGAGGACCTCTTTTCCTTCCTTCTGATCCTAGTCAATTAGGTCTCATCAGGAGTGGCTGCCTTGTCCTTTTCTGTGGCCTGGTAATGCTGCTTCCCCGTCAGGGGGAGGTAATTAAAGAGCAGGCCAATCAGTTCATGTCAGAGACAGTCCCTGTTCCTATCACAATGGAACCCACTTGGATACTGAACTGCCATGGGCTACATCTGTGCAGGGGTCTTAGGTTATCTCCATGCATGGTCCTTGGTTGGAATAGCAGTCTCAGAAAGACCCCTGTGCTCAGATTTTTTGGTTCTGTTGCTCTCCTTGTGGAGTTCCTGTCTTCTCCAGATCTTACTGTTTCCCACTTCTTTCCTAAGATTCCCTGCACTCTGCCCAAAGGTTGCCCATAAGTCTCAGTATCTACATTGATAGTCTGCAGGACAGAGCTTTTCAGAGGTCCTCTGTGTCAAGCTCCTGACTTGTTCCCTCTTTTCTCCTTCTTCTGATGTCCAGCCTCCATTAGCCATCAGGAAAATGCAAATCAAAACAACCCTAAGATTTCACCTTACACACATCAGAATGGCTAAGATCAAAACTCAAGAGAACACATGCTGGAGAGGTTGTGGAGAAAGGGGAACCCTCCTCCACTGCTGGTGGGAATATAAACTTGTACAACCACTCTGGAAAGCAATCTGGAGCTTTCTCAGACAACTAGGAATAGCGCTTCCTCAAGATCCAGCTATACCACTCCTAGGCATATATCCAAAAGATTGTCAAGTACACAATAAGGACATTTGCTCAACCATGTTTGTAGCAGCCTTATTTGTAATAGCCAGAAGCTGGAAATAGCCCAGATGCCCCTCGGTGGAGGAATGGATGCACAAATTGTGCATCTATGTATATCTACACAATGGAATATTACTCAGCAATAAAAAAACAAGGAAATCATGAAATTTGTAGGTAAATGGTGGGATCTGGAAAAAATCATCCTGAGTGAGCTATCCCAGCAGCAGAGGGATGCACACGGTATATACTCACTCATATATATAGACATATAATATAGGATAAACCTACTAAAATCTGTACACCTAAAGAAACTAATCAAGAGCGAGGACTCTTGCTAAATGCTCAATTCCTATCCAGAAAGGCAAAGAAGCTGGACATTAGTTTTTACTTCTTAATGAATGCCACTCCTGCTTCTACCGAAATCTCAGCCACCTAGGAATACTACGCATATCACCCATCATTCATTCTTCATTGCCAATCATTATCTTTCCAGGAACTTCCTGTCATTCACCTATCTTTCTTACATCTAAGAGGCAGGTTCATGCCTTCAATCTTAGCAGTGAGAGGCAATGCCAAGTGTGAAGCCAGCATGGACTACACATAATAGTCCGGATAGTCAAGGTGACATATTGAGGCCTTCTCCTCTTTCTTCCCAAAGATATATAACCCATACGGTGATTTTACGGACAAATCATAATATTGGGATTCTCAAGTCCTAGTCACCAATCCCTTCCACACTAAGTTAGCCAACCCCTCCCATATACCCACTCAGCAATCCAACTGATCTACTTCCGCAATCATTTACGCAGACTTTCCATTTTTGGGCATGTTAGATTGTTTCTCATAGCATTTACAGTAGATCAGAAATTTTTCAAATAATTTTATATAATTGGAATATGAAATTTTAGAAGCTATCAAAAATTACAGCTTCTAGTCCTTTACTGTTCTAGCAGTGAATTTGTTTTTAATGACAGAACATGAGAATAAACTCATGTGCTCCTTATTTGTTAGTTCAATATTTTATTAGACACAATATAAAACAATCCTAGATCCTATATCAAAGTCTTTATAGTTAAGAAATTTCAAGGCATTTCAGGGTCTTGAATATCTGTTGAGCTAAAAAGGACTCTGAGCTATATCTAATCATAGTATTTACATACTAATTATAACATATTTAAATCTACATGAACTGTTTTCATCAGTGATTTTAGGGACGAAAAATATCAATTTACATTACCTTATTAAGGATTCTGTATCCACTAAGGATTCTGTTTCTGTAGACTGTTGGCCATTAACACTTTAAAAGAAAAAAAAAAAAATTAAGAATATATACAAATGAAACTTTGTATAAGGGAAGTACTTGGCACAATCAAGACATCTTCCAATCCACAAAAAAAAACTTTTTAAAATGGAAGCACGGGTAGATTAAGACCTATATAGTCCATTAGAAAGTGGCCAATTTTTGCTAAGATGTGCTTAATGACATACAACTCAAACCTCCCCCAAACACAAGTTAAGCATAGTTAATGCTGCAATAGAGCATTTATCACATTTGTCTTTAGAAAACTCCTATTCCATGTTTCTTTTAACAGCTTTTCTGGAGTACAAATGATACATGAAACCATAGTTTAATGTATATAATTTAATGAGTTCAGCGTTATTTTCTTGTCTTTCTAACCAGTCTCAAATTCAACTTTTGGGAGATTGTGGTAGTGGGTAGGAAGTGAGATGAGATCTTATGTAACTCCAGCAAAAATCAAACTCATACCATTCCTGCTTTAGTCTCCTAAGTGCTAGCATAAAAGCTATGAACCACATCAACTTGAACCTTTTCTCCCTTTAGTGCCTTTTGCTGGCACTAAAATAGCATCCATAAACACAGTATGACCATTTTCAATCACATTCTTCCACTGGGTCTACTTCTCTTTACTGAAATCACATTTGCTCTTGCATCTATTCATATATTTTTCTCTCTTTTTCTTTTCTTTTTCATTCTTGAGACAGGGTCTCATGTAGCCAGGTTGGCTTCAAACTTGCTACACAGCCAAAACAGACTTTAAACTTCTGATACTGTTTCCACCTCCCAAGTGCTAGGGTTTCAGGTATATGTTTCCATTCTAGGTTTTATGCTGTGCTGGGAATCAAATCCAGGACTTTATTCAAGATTGTCCAGTACTCTATCAACTGAATCACACCCATAACGCCACATCTAAAAACCTTAACCAAGGCATACACACCTTTAGTCCTAGAACTCAGGACCTCTGTGAGTTTGAGACCAAAGCATAGGTCTACATAGCAAATTCCAGGCCAACCAGGGCTACAGAGTGAGACCCTATCACAAAACAAAGTAAAACAAACTACTAAAACCTCTGCCTATCTTAACACCAATATTTAAATCTTATCTACAGTTTAGCAATGAACTATAGGTTTTGCGCTATTACTTGTATTGTATGTAGCCTAGGTTAGCTCTGAACTCAAGATCCCTTGCTCCAGCCTCTCAAGTGCTGGGATTACAGGTATGGGCCATCATGCTTATCTTAGAAATTTTTTCTTTCCATATAATTTCACAGATAGAACATTGTTCTGACAAGCTGGGTAAAGTTATGTACCCCTATGATTCTAGAACTTAGGAGGTGAAGGAAGGTAGATTTAAGGTTACTGGTATATTACCACTTTTGTGCTTTGTGGTTATTAAGTAAAATGTGTTACTTGAATCCAAGCACTGAAATAATGCAAATGTCACCTGATAACTGAAATGGCTCTGAAAAAAAGGACTGGAAAGGCTGCAAATATAGTAGATAGCCTGGTCAAAAATACATTACTCAGCCATTAAAAAACATGGAATCCTGAAACTCTCAGGTAAATAGAATGAGCTAGGAAAAAAAATCCCCAGTGAGGTAATTCAGACCCTAAAAGGCAAATATATACTGAACATCTCATCACCAAATGAAGCTTCCAGAAATGGGAATGGATTATGTCTAATTGAGCGGCTGTCAAAGGGGTCCCATGGGAACTCCCAAGTAACTTAGGCTATTGTCAAGGCTACTTACTGGTGGCTTTCCACAAACTGACAAGGCTGAAGATAACACCTACACAAATCACTGAGCATGGAGAAGTCAACTTGATGCTTTCCCAAAATCTTCACTCCTGTTGATTAGTGTTCATGGTACTGAAATGTACTTTGCATGCTACCAAAGAAAAAAGGTAAAGAGAACCCAGCCACAAACCCTTCAGTCTACAAGGGCGACCTTCCTATGAGATACACTGGTGCAACAGTGGCTCAAAACCTGTGAGAGTATCCAATCAGTATCTGATTTAAGGGCCACTCCATGACATGGAACACATACCCAGTGCTGCTTGAGTGGCAAAGAACCCGAGCGCAGATAGTCTAGGGGAAAACCAAATACTAGTGTTCTGGGTAATGGTTGCTGTTTCTTTCCATCTCTGACAGAAAAGAGAGCCAACTCCCACAGTTGTTCTCTGACACCTCCTGGCTCCCAAATGTTAACCTTCCCACTCCTCAGCATACATTCATATGCCTATGAATGTAGCATTTGGGTGTGGAAGCAGGAGCATCAGGATCTGTTCAAAGTCAGCCTCAGTGACAGTGAATGTTGACTAAGGCCAGCCACAGTTCTATTGCCTTACAACAGATATGACTAACTAGTATATTTCCTCTGGCATTTGGGGCAATTGTTAGTCATTTGCTTTTTGAGTAGAGCACCATATCTTTGAAAATTATAGAGAATAATACCTTAAAATACCAAAATAACTTAGAACATACAAAAGGCTGGTGAGATTTGAGCTCAAATAAGAGACAAAAATGAACCATGTTTCTAATTTCAACTTCATTTCTTAAGCACCCTTTCACTAAAATTAGTAAATAAATTTAAATACATTCAACCAATATTTTCTCACTTCCTATTTTGCTTAACATATAATTCATATAAGTGAAAAAAATAACACTACAGTTCTCCAAATATTCAAACTATCAATTAGAGAACACACCAATTACTCAATTGTTACTTTTAATGGCTTACTAGTATCACTTATGTTAAAAACAAAATATTCCTAAGACCAAACAAACAAAAAACAAACAAAGAAACAAACAAAAAAAACTAAGAGTATACAAACCATTTTCCTTTATTCAAATTAACGTCAACTTCAGTATTAGCAGCACTTGGCTTATCACGGGAAGCTAGTCTCTTTGCTTTTTCATTTTCCACTACTTTTGTTGCTGCCTTTAAGAAAGGTTGATTATGAAGGGGAAGGAGGAAAAAGAATGCTTTAGGCATTTTTTAAAAGTAGCATGTAGTCTTCTTTGATAGCTACAGCAGAAGTATCTGTTTACAGGTCAGCAGAAAGGTACCAAATTATTTTCATAATTCTAATGCAGTTTGCAACTCCCTTAGCTTTTGTTTGGTTTATAGGCATTATGGAAGGCTGTGTCTCTTATAAATATATTTGATAGACACAATGTTCTCTAGGCAATTTTAAATACAATTTTAGTGGCTTGGAGACACCGCTTAGCAGTTAAGCGCTCAGCACCTGTATCCGGTGGCTCACAACTGCTGCAGGGAAGGGGAGGCCCTCTGTGGGCCTCTGCAGGCACACGCCCACATGCACACTCACATACACACCTACATATTCTGAAGGAAAACTACCTCAAATTAACAAAGATGTCAACTTTAATACTCATTAACTGAAAATTTGGATGACATTTTAAGACTTTCTCTTTAAAATACTGTCCTTCATTATAACAATTTCTCTTGCCTTGGGATAATATGTGTACCTTCATTAGAAATGTTGATGATTTTTCATTTAGCACATGATTCACATAACTCTTAATTTTCTCCATCATGTGGTTATAGCTGAAGCGTTGAAAAAAGGAGTGGAATGTGTCTTTCTGAGAGAGTACCACAAGTAATTTCCTTTCTAAAGGCTAAAGAAAAACAGAACAGTATTAATAGAAACCATAAATTTCAAGTAAGCGTTTGCTTAAAAAACAATTTTGTAAGAATGAACTCAAAGAGATATAATTAAGCATTGTAATTCTGCTTTAAAAGACCCATGTATTGTCTTTCTTTTTAATGCCCCCACATTTCTGAATGTTTTATTTCAGATACATAAGAGGAAACAGATTATAAATGTAATTGTCTATTACCCAGCTTAAAAACAAAACATTATCAATACAACTAAAGCCTGTTTATGTCCATAATCTGATCCCACTCTGTCCTCACCTATAACTACTACCCAAAATTCAGAATTTACTATTGTTATAAATTTGTTAGGCTGAGGGGATGTGTACAGCTTGTCGGAAGCAGTGCTTGGGCTCCATCCCTGGTACGGCCACCTCCTCAAAAGTCAGTTTCTTTACATACGTACAACGTATACGTGTCTGTAAATGGTGGACAGTATTGTTCACCAGTCTTCATTTTTTTAACACATTTTGGTGTGTGTGTGACGCATCTACACGTGTGCTCATGCGTGCATGGAGCAATGCCAGTCTTCCTTGACTGCTCGCCACTCTATATATTTTCAGACAGGTTATCTAGGGATTCTCCAGTCTCTCCCGCCCAACACTGGGATTACAGGTTTCTGCCACCATGTCTGCATTTCTATGTGGGTGTTGGGAATCTGAACTCAGGTCCTCATGCTTTTGCATAGCAAGCGATTTACTTCACTGTACCATTTATGAAGCCTCATGGCTTTACTTTTGTACAAATGGTATCATTTGTATAGGTATGATTTTTTTTTTCCTGAAACTTGCTATATTTCCCTTAATTCTATGTTCCTGGCAATTACTGATGTTACTATGTAGAAAAAGTTATTTGTACCACTGTCTAGAATACTGACGAACCATCACTTATTAATTTAGCTGCTTAAAGAACTTACGTTGTTATTACTGCAGTGATCAAACATTTTCTCTTAATTTTTCTCTGTGCTCAATACAAATTTTTCTTAAGCCGTAGTTGTTTCAATGCAGGATAAGCAATAAATATTGAACTTGATAAAAACAAAACAAAACTAGACTAATTGTCTCAGTAAGATCTGGATTTTCCCTGTTTGTCTTTAAAACTTCGTGGTTTTTAGAATGTAGAGCAAACATAAAGAGTTATTCTAGGATATTTACCTAGAAATGAAACTCACTGGAATATGTGCTCACATATTTTGCTAAGACTCTCTAATGCACCATCTTGTTCTCCAGAGAGTAAGGTATGCAGGCATCAAAGCACTCTGCCATCTTCTGAGCCAATTTTTGGTGTTTTAATCAATGAGCAATCTGAGAGTATGGGAAATAGTTCAGTGAGTCAGTTGGTAATGTCCCACTGATTATGCTAATCCTTGGGAATTTGAATACTTCCCCCTAAGTGCTTAATGTTTATTGGCCATAAGTTTTCCTCTTATGAGGCAGAAGCAGAGTAGAGTTTGAATTAATCTAGTAATACAAAGAAAAAAAAATACATGGCTAGGAAATTTAAGAAGATCATAGGCTCTCAGCTGAAATTTCTAGGGTACTATGCCTCAGAGAAGGGTCAAATCAGATAATGCCTTCCATACCTAAACCATAACCTACTCAAATAGGACAAATCAGTTATTAACTAAGCCGACTACCCCCTCAACTCCGTCTACTAGTACATGAAATTACATTCAGTAGTTTTCAGGCAGATTAAACCCAGTGTGATGGTACTGTCTATTTGCCATGAAAACCACAGGTAAGGTCTTCAGAGCAACTGGTGTTAACTACTTTAGAAAACTCTTGGCAGCACCTACTAAAACCAAATGACTGTTACTTGAAAGTGAACAGCAAATGAGTATGTCTAGCCTATTGCTCAGAAATTCTACTCCCAAGTATACACTGAACAAAAGACTGCATGGTCTGCTCCTCAAAAGACATATTAAAGTATTTTTCAGCAAAGACTGAAAAAACTTAAATGTCTAGCGCTGAAAAGATAAATTACTACCTATTCATGCAATAACAACAGCAACAAAGAAATGAACAAACTATTATGACAGGGAGATCACATATCAGTTTTTATCATCACAACCTTGCACACGATTCCATTATAAAACAAATCTTTAGTGGTAGAAGACCGATTAGTAGCCACCCTGGAAGAGACAACCATTTTCTCAAATGATTGGGAGATTTGATGAGATTCTAGGTTTTGGGAAAAGATCTTACTATAGCCAGGCTAGTCTTAAACTAAGGACATCATCCTCCCAATCCCCCCACCCCCACTACCATGTTTGAGAGCAGGATTATAGGCAGGTATTATACCATGCCTGGCTCATCTTTCTTTCTGATAATGCCTAGGACCAAATCTAGGCTTGTAAATGTTAGGTGAGTGCTAGAGTGCTGCCACAGAGCTACATTCTGAGATAGGTTGTTCCCCGATGTAGGGGATCTCAAAACAACTGTGTTCCTTGGTGTAAACATACATACCTCCATACTTAGGATACATTATTTCCTTCTAGAGATATGGATATTCAACAACAATTTTACTAAAAATATAAAATTATCTTCTTTTCCTTTGAAGGTGGTTCAATTTACCCCAACAACATTGTTTTTAATATTTTAACAATCTGAGGTCTATTAATTGTATTAATATACAAACTGCAAATGATCATCTAACAAACTCCAGCTGGGTTTGATGGTACATTCTTAAGATTCTATCCGAGAAAAAAAGAAGGAAAAACAAACAAGGGAAGGAGGGAAGGAAGGAAGGAAGGAAGGAAGGAAGGAAGGGAGGGAGGGAGGGAAGAAGGAAAAGAAGACAGGAAGGAAGAAAAAGAAAGGAAAGGAAAGGAAGAAAGAAAAGAAAAAGGGAAAAGAAAGTACAGAACATGGGAAGGGGCGCAGTATTGTAGTCACCAGCTCCCTATGTTGGTTCTGAGCCCTCGAAATGTGGTGAATATCAAATTGGACATATTGTAAATATAAAAACCTGATATTAAAAAAAAGGGTACCTAAAATACTAAATCTTTGTATTGATCAATATTAAAATTATTTTTAATATATTAAGTTAGATAAAGCATTCAGTTTCTCCTTCAATTTCCTTTCTCTTTTCTTCAACCCATATAAACAGTTGAATAATTAATTCTATCATTTTAATGTAAATAGTTACCGTGTGAGATTCTGGATCACCCAGTATCCTTTCAAACACTTCTTCTGCTTCCTTAAAACTGCCATTTTCCATACAAACAGCTACAGCCTTAAAGATGAAATATACAAACATTAGGTTGCTTTTTAAAATACTCAACCATTATTTGACTAAGTAAATGCATAAAGTCAGGTCTGAAAGACTTTATTAAGACATTTTTATGCATTTTATTTGATAAAGATATAGTCATTTTTCAAATGATGAAATAATTATGGCTTAAAAAGATATAAAAATTCTCAGTAGCTCTGTCCACATTTATAATATGTTCAGTATCCCTAGCAGGAATTAATAATTAGAAGTGAATTTATCATATGGAAATGATCCTGCTGCTCATTTCCATATGCTCTACCGTATACCCACATTCCACACAGAACTGTTATGTGAATGTGTATACAGTGGCAAAAGCACAATGCACTAAAATGTTACCATCACTGTCTAAACTGTCTGGAACAAAGTCAGCTTTCTTTAGAGCCTCAATGATTGTGAAAAATAGAAAAATCTGTTCTAACTTGAACTCTTACTAGAAGCAGTCATTTTTCTACCCAATGTCTTATTTTCAGGTCCTAATTTCACTTGAATATAACCATGCTAGGGAAAGTAGGAAACCAATTCTTAGTGCAACTTAAAGCTTTGACTGTAGTTAGCTGTTTGATTTTTCTGGTTTCTTATTCTTAAGCAGTCTACTAAAATTCAAGTCTTCGTATGGTTACAATTTTTCATATTCTTGTTTACAAAATCCACGCACAGCATGTGTGAGGCCCTGGGTTCAATACGCAGAAGCACAACCACAACCCCACAATAAACAAGGAGGCCCATACCAAAGCACTTGCTATCCCCCACCCCCATAGTCACAGTCTTTGGTAAAAAAGTGGAGTGCATGAATCCCTAGTTTTAAAGTTTGTTTGGTAATCTTTAAATAGCTGCAGTGTTTCCTGCAATATGGAAGCAACATACACCTAACTATGAAGCATTAAGTTCTGGGCCTGGTGCTCACGTGAAGATTATAAACCAATGGTCAATTTTCTAAATGAAAAGATTTTCTTAAGATTTTCACTAGGTTTATATATAGCACAACTCTGACAGGTTACTTTTATATGGATGTTAATGTTTCCATATTCATGGCGGTTAATATTCATCTTTAAGTTTACTAGACTTAGAAGCATATTTCCAGAATGCTTGATTTAACTGAGAAGTGAAGACCCACCCTGAACATCAGCAGCACCATTCCATGGGCTGAATAAAAAAAAAGAAGTGAAGGCTAGCATTCATCTCTCTCTGCTTCCCAACTTTTTCAGTTTTTTTTTTCCTCAGAAGACTTACTTTTCTTTATGTATATAAATCTCTGTGTGTGCGCACCTGTGTGCAGAGACCAAAACAGGGAGCTGGAGTCACAGGTAGTTGTGAACTCCTAATGTGGGTACTGGGAACTGAACTTGGGTCTTCTGAAGAAGCAGAAATGCTCGTAAGTACCAAGCCATCACTACAGCCTCTCCTTAATTGCTTCTCATTAGGCATTTTCTATCAGCAATGAGAAAAGTAATTGATACAATATTCTAGCAAAATAAGCACAAAATAATATTCATACCTGAATTTTAATTAAGTTCCGTATTTCCTCATGAAGTTTGTCATGTTCCTTTTCAATTGAGTCCCAAATCATCAGGGCTGATTCCAAGGGTGTAATGCGCTCATCACTTTCAAATTGTGCATCTTTAAAAACAGAACAGTAAATTAACTGAAAGTTCAGGAGGACCTTAAATACTTCATTCTTTTTCAAAATTACCAAGTATATATACCACATGCCAGGGACTTTTCATTCAGAACAGTTTAGGAAAATGATTTTCCTAAGTTAATTTGTCCACTAATATCCATTTAAAGTCGATTCTTAAATGGAAAAATAAAACCTCTGTAATTATAAGAATAAGAAACTTTTTTTTTTTTTTTTTTTTTTGAAACAGGGTTTCTCTTCCTAGCCTTGGCTCTATAGTTGCTGGCCTTTAACTCCTGATTGCTGGTGTTAAAGTGTGTGCCACCACTGCCCAGCTTTAAGGAAAAAAAAAATCAGAAGCTTTTTATCTATCTATCTATCTATCTATCTATCTATCTATCTATCTATCATCTATCTGTCTGCCTGTCTGTCTATCTGTAGCTCAGGTTGGCCTCAAGCTCCAGTTCTTCCTGTCTTGCTTCTATAGTGCTGGGAATACAGGTATGTGCCACCATGCCCAACTGCTATTTTAAGTGTCTGGAAGGCAAAAATCCTCTTATGAGATCACACTATCATATTTTAAATTTTGGGAGCAGAAGCTACTTACTACCTATATTCTTCTTCTAAAGCTCCCGTTTCAGAGTTGTTCTGGTTCCTTTCAATGAAATAAAGGAATATATTCAAGAGAATTTTCAAGCTGGGTATAATGTTGTACATTAACTAAATAGCACATCCATATGAGCAGTTTCAAGGATTTTTATTTTTTGTTGGCCGCTTTTGGCATTTACAACATTTTGGATTAAAAAATTATTTATAATCAAGTTGTTTTGAGTACTTAAGATACAAACACAAAAAAGAAACCACCATACAAGGTGACACAAGTCTATAATTCAGCACTTCAGAGACTGAGGCTGGAGCGTCACTGACAATTCAAGCGTAGCCTGGGTGAGACCTTGTCTCAAAACAAAACAAAACAACAACAACAAAACCCCAATTCTTGTCCATGTGGAATTCTAATAGCCACAAACAACACAAAGTAGACAAGTCAATATAACTGGTACTTTCCTGGAAATACATCATTATGCCATTGGTTCCTTATTCTACTTCAGAATTATTCAGAAATTTTGAAACAGAGATGACTAGGTACATCTGGACATTGCTTAAGTTCTAGAATATGGCCTAGGAATGCAGTTCATTAGTTGAACATTTACTCTATTCACATGAAGCCAAGTGCTGTAAGAAAAAGAAATAATAAAAAAGGATAATGAAAAAATAACCAAGAAATATAGACAGGCTAGAAAGAGAGAGTTTAGGAAAGCTGAGGTGAAAGAAGGTAAGGTCAAGGTATATAAAAGTATTCTTACTAATAAGTAAAGGTTATCTATCAGGCTACCATCCTTGTTCTCTAAAGTAGGAGCAGAAATCTAATAAAAGAGATTGCAGCTAGAAAGTGGGAGAGGAAAAATTTAGTAGCTTTCCCTCATTCCAATAAGTTTGTTGAGAAAAAAACCTAGTTCACAATAAAATAAAGTAACTGGAAACAACCTAACTCAGGAGGTAAAAGATCTATACAATGACAATTTAAGATACTGAGGAAGTTGAAGACATTAGAAGATGAAAAGCTCTCTTGTTGGGATGGTTTTGTGAACTGTGCAGTCAGACGCTAATTTCTGTGCCCAGAGATCTGATTGCAGTCTGTTGTGGACATTGTCATTTCTATCAAGAATCTCCTGTCTCAAGGTTGTGTAAAAATTGTTCTCTATCATCTCTGATTGGATAATAAAGAACTCACTAGCCAACATCTGGGCAGAAGAGAGACATAAGTGGTTCAAGGTTGGTAGGGGCAGGGGTTGAGAAGAAAGTTGCAATGAAGAGGGGCCATTAGGAAGGCCACCAGGGACTAAGAGGAGGTCTCCATGTGAGAGTTGCCATGAGAAAAAAGATGGAGCAGGAGCAGTCAGGGCGAGACTAGATGTCAGGTAACAGGGCACGTGGCTGGGAATAGTTCAGACCAGCATAGACAGGTTAGAAAGGCCCAGCTATAGTGGTTTGAAGCTTACTGATAAATGTAATAAGACTTTGTGTCATAGAAAAAAAATCCATTACTTTTACATCCTTCCATATTCATGGACTGACAAAATATTGTAAAAATTGCTGCTATTATGGAAGTGATAAAAATCCCACTTATATTCTTCATAGAGCTGGGGGAAAAACTTAAATTCATGTTGAAAAATTAAAGACCTCAAATAGCAAAAGCAATACTAATCAGAACAAGCAATGTTCTAGGGATCACATAAACAAGCACCTTCCCTGTAACTAGGAAAACAGATGGAAAAACGTAAAATAAGCTTGCAAAGGCAAGGAGTATGTATGTAATAGAGCAAAGACAAGGAAGCAAAACAAAATTCTGAAGAGAGGCTCCTTGGAGGTTTCCTGGGCTTATTTTGGATGGAGTTCGAAGATCTGGTGGAGCAGGCAGGGGAAGAGGGAAATAAGAAAAGCTTCTGATGGGTTCCTTTATATTGGGTTGGTGGACTAGAAACTAAAGAAACTGAAAACACAAGACTTGCTTTTCCCCACAGGGCATCAGCTAAATTTTGTTGGAGGCCTGTCAATTCCTAACCTCAGATCTTACAAAATAGAGTTAGGAATGGTGACACACACCTGTGTGGCAGAAGCTGTGGCAGGAGGACTATGAGATTCCAGGCAGCCTGGGGTATATAAAAGTAAGTTTTTAAGATGAGAAAACCTGCTATATACATTTTTCCCCCTTGAAATAATTGTTGCATTTTATAGCTCTATGGGACTGAGACTGAAGCCAAATATGGCACCCACTATCTACTTATAATCACTTAGCAGTTAAAATGCAACTAGTCCAAACAGATATGCTTTAAGCATAAAATACTATGTCATAAACTTGACATAAAAATAAGATATCTCATCAACCTTTTGTATATTACTTGGCATATTTTAAAAATATTGGATTACTGGGTTAAGCAAGATACCACTAAAATTCGTTCCACTTCCTTTTAGTTGTCTTAATTTAACTACTAAAACATTTTAAATTTTAAACATAAACAATCACTGAAAGATTTAGAAGAGTTGTATATACTCAAAATTCAACACATAAAGTGGGGGGCTATAGCTTGATGATAGCACATTCACCTGGCAAGTCAAAGGCCCAAGGTACATGGCACTGCCAAAAATCCCAAACAAACAAACAAACAAACAAAAACTATTGTCTCTTTTGAGTCAATTATGATGAAATTATAATTTTGAGTCAATTATGTTTCTTGCTAGCTGATCTTGTAATTTTTATCTAAGATATATATCTAAAATAGAATTCTGGCACATTTAAAGATTAAGCCATTAGGTTAGGGTAGATGTTTGGCTCAGTGGTATAGTATTTATCTAATATACACAAGGCCCTGAGTTTAATGACTGTCTCTTCAAAAATGAATAAACAAAACAAATCAACAAGAGTTACTCAAAAAATCTGTTTGCCCTTGTTTTGAAGGGAAGATTCCCTGGAAAGAAACTAAGATACACAGAGTAACTCTTGTATGTAAAGAATTGCTAGGCAATTTAGGATATTCTGGCACATCTGATTTACAAAAACACCCACCCAATTATGGGCATATTAGAAGTTATGGTCTGCAATTTTCCAACTGTGTACACATCAGCCTGTTATCTTTTTCAGCCACAGACCGTAACTGCAGACAGCCCTCGCTTCTGCATTTGCTTTAGTTGTGCCCTATAGTAGTTTCCTTCTTGTTAAAATATTCCATCCTACAGGGAAGTGTCTAAAGAGTTAGGAAATAAACAACTCAGAAATCTGAAGTTATCCAGAGAGCTCCAGCGCCAGGGTTCCTGGGCTGCCATACATGTTGTGGTGAGCTTTTGACAATGTAACTTTTAGGTTGTCCATGATCCTTTAAGGAACTACAATAAACGAACTGGTTCACCAAATTAGAATTTGTTGTCAGTGTTACTTTGGTTTGTTAAGAGTTTCATATTGGGGTAGAGTGTTAACCTCTCCAGGAATGATGTCAGACAACAAGCCCCCAATTTCAATATAAAGAAAAATTTGTATTTACCAAGGGATTTTCCTGCTGCAATTCTTGCCAGAAATTGACATATATATACAGTTCTCAGTTGGTGAGCTGTAAGACTGGGTAGTCCATGAATAATAGCTAAAAAAAAAAAAAAAAAAAAAAAAAAAAATTATTAAAATATTATCACAATCTAGTAGGCCCACCATGGCTCTAGAAGATCCACTTCTAATCTGGAATTTTAGGTTGGAAGACACACCTTTAATCTGAGCTACACCTTCTGCTGGAAGCCTGTATAAAGGACAAAAGAGGGATGTTCTCTCTTCTTACCTGCTTCCTCCCACCCTCAATATATAACTCTTCTCTCTCTACATATATGTAGATTCACTCTATAAGTTGTTTTACTCTAAAGAACTCTGACTAATACTCAACAAAAACTGATCATAAATGTATAACTTAGATTGTAATTAGTTAATCTTTAAAAATCAGAAGTTTTACAATATACTGTTCTTATAAAATGTAACTCAAATATGAAATGAATACTCAAAATTGCTTTTACGGGTAGTACCAAAGAAAGATTCATATCTAAATTATAAGATGTATCAATTCAGTACTTTTAAATTTATACCATGAAATTCTTTATATTGTAGAAAATATTATATGTAATAGATATAACATGTCAAGGTTTCCACTGAGCTTGTTCAGGTCATAAAGATCTACTTTAAGGCATTTATTTCTCAAACATTTGAATACCCACAAAGATGTGCTTGGGAGCAAATATGCACACCATATCTCTGGCTCTCTCTCACACACACAGGACAGGGAACAAACTCTCATTCTTCAGGCACTGCCAATTTTTTTAAACGTTTAAATAAAAGATTGATTTATTTTATTTTATGTGTTTGGGTATTTTGCCTGTGTTTGTATGTGTAACATGTGCCTGCTGAGGACAAAAGAGAGCATTAGATCCCCTGGAACTGGAGTTCAAGCCTCTGCCACAGGAATGCTGAGAGCCAAGTTCAGCTTCCCTGGAAGAGCAGCTAGTGCTCTCAACTGCTGAGCTCCCCACCCCCTTTTAAGACAAGGCCTTCCACTGGCCTGAAGCTTACCAAAAGTGGCTAGGCCAGCTGGCCAGTGATCCACCTGTGTCTTCCCAATGCAGTGAATACAGGTGTGTCAAGCTGTTTTTGTATGGATCCTGGGGATCAAACTCAGGTTCCCTGGCTTGCAAGATAAGCATTTTACAAGCCACTGTCTCCCTAGGCGCTGCCCCCACCCCCCACATACACACTTCTTAAAATTTTCTACATTCATCTGCTATAGTTTGGATCTAGAATGCTCATCTTAAGTCTTGGTCCACATCTTAGCACTTGCTGACAGACTGTGGAACTTTAAGACATGGAGCCTCATACAGATTTTAGGTCAATGAAGTTGTCTTTTAAAGGGACTATGGGACCCTTGTTCCTCTCTCTCTTACATCCTGGCATCAAGCAGTTTTGCTTCTTCGCAGCTGCCACTTGGATGTTCACTGCCACCTTTGAAATCAGTTTGTTCTCCCTGGGTTACACTGCTCTACACTTAAAATAACAGGGGTAGTTGTGATTACACCTTGTGTTTGAAGAATTGCCAGCTTTGCTCTTGTGCTTCAGTAGTACAACACCAGGATGAGCTGACTCGTTATGGCTTGAGGGACAGAACCACCTCTTCTCTCTACAGACTAACAGACTCTCTACAAAACTAACAGACTGCACCTGCATTAACTAAACAGGAGTTCACGACAGCATTTCCACCTCTAATCTCTTACCATACAGAGAAACCATACAGCCTGTTCTCAACAGAAGTTTTTAATATCCCCAGGTACAGTGAAGTGACTCCAGGATTTAATTTCCCACTAAATCCCACAGGATTTAATGTTCCTTACCCATGCCATGGCTCCAGCTTCATCCGTAAGGACAGTTCCTTAAACACTTAGATGACACACGGATCTGGAGCATCCCTCTTAACCCACCAGTACCTCAGAATAACTAACCCACTTCTCTGTAAATAAGATCGCCTAGCTAACTTGAGCATTACTACAGCTGAGGTACAGTCTGTCAACATGGCTTGGTGAGGATTGCGGGTTAAAGGTTACATTTTTTTTTTTATTGTCAATACAGAGGGCCACAGGAGCATTACTGGAAAGCTGCTGTGCCCCAGCAGCTTCCGTTATCGCCTTTTGGCCGGGGTCTGGCTTCACCATCCCCGACAGGCTGTCCACGGGGCTTGCAGATGAACGTAACGCCACCTGACTACGGAGCCGGCCAGCGGGCGAACGAGACAGCTGAACAGGGCTAAGGGGCGACCTAGGTGGCGGGTAGGTGGGCGAAGGGGGCTGGCGGCTTTTCTCCGCTTTAACCCGTCCCGTCCTTCCATCGAGCTCGTTTCCGTTGTACCCACCGACCAGGGCCACAGAATGGGGGCTCGCAGCTTCACAGGAGGCCCGTCATCCCGCCCGGGTGTGCGCGGACGGGCAGGCCTCGGCTCGCACTCACCCTCGGCGCTGTCGCGAGTCCTGCGGAAGTCCTCGGAGCGGCCATCGCGGAAGGCCCGGCACAGAGACAGGCAGAGGAAGTCGAGCATCCAGCCGGCGGCCACGGCCTCCGCCTCGGCCACCAGCTCCGCGTCCTCCTCCTCCTCCTCCTCCTCCTCCGGGGCTCCCAGCTCCACCAGGCGCTCGAGCGGCTCCGCGTCGTCTCCCGCCGGCTCCGTCATGTCTTTCTCGGCAGAGTCCCCGCTCCTCCGGCCCGCACAGCCCGGCGATGCCGCTGAGGTGACAGGCTCCGCCATGTTGTTAAATCGGCGCCCGCGCTCCGATTGGCTCGCGTCGGCCTGGGGGTCAGCCAATCGCGCCGCTAGGATGGGCTAGTTGCTCGAGCTTAGCTTCTGATTGGCTAGGATCTGCTAAATTCCCTGTCAGTCGGAAGCAGGGTCTTCCGGATAGGGCGAGTAGGTTAAGGATAATTTTTAAGAAAAGCAATCTGCGCGGGAAAAGGAGAGTTAAAACAGAGCGGCTTTTGCCTGCGGGTTGTGACTGTGGAGCAGCGCTTCTGTAATGGCAGCAGCACTCGGGAGGTGGAGCAAGGAAGATGAGGAGTTCAGGGCCAGCCTCAGCTAGAGTTCAGGTCAGCCAGGGGCACATGAACGCTTACCTCAAAAACCCAAACAAATAAATAAAGCTTGTCGCCTTGTCCCAAACGTAAGCACGGGTATTTATTTAACCGAATTCCAGCGAGATCACACTGATTGTTTTCCCCACCCTTGAATGTTCATCTTCAGAATCCGTAAATGGCTGCCAAGAATTTCAGGAATGTTTATCTTAAAAAACAGAGCAGGTTTCAGGAAGGGAAATACTATTTTAGGTATTCCTGTTGGTGTTGGAGCACATACTCAGGTACACCAAGTGGAGCTGTATAACTTTGCTCTCCAATTATCCCCGTTTGGCTAATAAAGTTGCTGACAGCCTGGCTAGGCAGAAGAGAGGTAGGTGGAGTGAAGGTGTGTGGCCTTTTGGCATCGCAGACAGACAACGAGAAGGAGAAAGGAAGGAAGAAGAAAGTCGCCGTGGGTTAGGGTAACCAGGAGCATGCGGTCAAGAGTAGCTTGCTCTTAGGACTGATCCGATGGAGCAGAAGCACGTGCAAGTATTATGGGGATTTTAGATGGGAAACAGTGAAGAAAGCTTAGAAGATTACTATCTGTCCAGCTCCAGAGTGGCTTCTGTGTCTTTTATTTATAAATCAGAGGGTTGGAGAATAACTGCTGCCATATTAATAACCAGCATTAATTTCTATTTATAGATTAATTAATTCCATTTACATATTCTAATACTTTAAAGCTTTTAATATATCATGTGAGTATAGCATCAGTGTTCAGCATTATACTTTTCTCTCCCCTCCCTCTCTCCCTTCCTTCCTTCCTTCCTTCCTTCCTTCCTTCCTTCCTTCCTTCCTTCGTTCCGGGGATAGTCTCTCACTAAGTAGCCTGACTGCCCTGGCGCTTATCTGTAGAACAAGCTGACCTCCAACTCAAACCCACAGAGGTCTACCTTCCTTTTCCTCCTGAGTGTTAAGATTAAAAGTATATGCCACCACAACAGGCCCTGGCTCTCTTCTTAATGGGACATAATCATTGTGGTGTGAAAGCTAGGCTTGCAAGGAAACAGTTGTTCTTATGTTGCAGGATATTTGATCTCATTTTGAACCCCCACCCCCATTGCTCCCCAACCCTCCTGCAAGACCAATATCGTGAACTGTAAAAACCTGTTTTTAACGGAGCCAGGCTTTGATCCTATAGGTTGCTGTTTACAGTAAGCAAGCGCTTGTGGTATGGGTCCACCCTAGTATACACCTTTAATCCAAGACCTTTCTATAAACAGGATTAAATGAAGTTAACCCTAGGTCAAGAGGCAGAGCAAGCAACCAGACTGACAGGAAGTGAACAGGAGAAAAAACAAAACAACAAACAAACAAAAAACAGAGTGAGAGGTAGTCCAGAGGACAGATAAAGAGACACACAGGAAATAGAAAGGAGGAGCATTGAGTTGAAAGGTATTTAAGACAGTATGGAGAAGGAAAGAGGCTTTTGTTTCTGGGTTGTGAGCTGAGAGAGAAGGGTTTTGTTTTGTTTCATTTCCTTCTGGGATGTCAGCTGAGTAGGAAAGTGAGCTGGGTGCTTTCTCTGACTCTCTAAACTAGCAGATTTTTACCCTAGCATCTGGCTTATGAGTAAAATCATTGGTAAAATCAAAGGATTGGGGTTTCCTTTAAAAAAAAAAAATTCGTGCATCTTTTAACAAAGATATGCTAAGTGCAAAATTAGGACATACTGCTCATGTGTTGGTATCATTGAGCCTAGGTGATACACATGCCCTAGATATACATGTCTAGATGGTCTAGGCCAATCAATAACCATGGCTTCTCAATGCACTCAGCAAACAAGAAAACAGAAAATGAATGAGACTTTTTAGTCTCCTTAAATTCCTGCTTCGACAATCTTCCTAAACAGGTACATGACTGGCTGAAATGTTAGCAGTGCATGAAAGCAACTGGGAGTCTTTGGGGATTTGTTTTCCATGAACATTTATTTTAATGCTGTATTTTTTAAAATACCTTCTGGTGTATTCTCTTAGTAACTCACTGATTAGTCAATATTTTTAATAAAATACATCTGCCCAAAGCTAAAGTGATAGCATATGGGAGTAAAAGAAAGTGACTGCAAGCCGTTGGGAGTCAGAGTGTCCTCTTTCTACTTTTCCTTCCCTTGCAGTAAACCAGCTCTAAATAAAACCTCTCCCTTGGTGCTGAATTTTCTCCACTGAAAGAAAAATCAGAGACCTCTACTGACCAAAATAACATAGTCTCTACTTAACACAGCAGCACATTAGCCACATATGGCATTTTGAAAGTTTTTTTGAATTCTGTCTAAAAAGCTAAAAAAAAAAAATTAAATGAAATTAATTTAGAATCATAGTTTACTTAACCAAGTTAAAGTAGATTATAGGATTAGAGACAGTGAAAAGAAATAAATTGAATGTTGGGTACAAAGTTTCAGGTAAGTAGGAGGGATTAATTCTACTGTTTTTATTGTACAGCATGCTTTCTTGTCTTTTTTTCTTTTTCTTTCTTTCTTTCCTTCTTTCTTTCTTTCTTTTTTTTTTTTTATTATATAGCTTTAGTGTAGAGGAGTTTTAATCCAGCAACATGGCTGCTCTGCCAAAGGATCACATCTAAAGACCTTCCAGGTCTATATGATCCAGCTGGAATGCAGACATGCCCTGGATTATAATATGATCTAGCTGGAATACAGACATGCCCTTAGTACACACTTTTAATCCCTAACAATGAAGGTAAGGTTAGTTTGTAGAAGACAGCAGCCACGTTTGAAAGTGATGTCTAATTGAGGGGCAAAAAAAGTGATGAATCAGAGAAAGATTTGACAGAATGAGTCAGAGACAGGAGACGTCCAATTCACACAAAAATAGCACAGAAAGGAGAATCTACTTAAGAGCAGAGAAAGAACTGGGGGAGGGGGATAAAGGGTAAGAGGGTGGACAGACTTGACTTCTGATGATTTGGTCAATATCTCCTTTCCCTTTATCTGCAGGTTTGCTATCTTGCTGGTGACTTCCACTGTCTCCTTGCCCTCTGCTGTTGTCTTTGATGGTCTTGGGCCAGAGCAGCCCTCAGAGAGGAATACATAGTGCTTCAGTGGAGCCATCTGCAAAGACAAATGCACATTCCTTCCCAAGTTTTCTTCTAGTAGAATGAAAATAGGTCAGATCAATGCATCAGTTTGCTTATTTCCTTCTGTAATAAAACCAGGAAGGTTAGATTATGCAGGAGTCTGAGTCTGTTGCTGGAAATAGTCCTATAACATAAGCAGATAATAAAACAATATTTAGGAGTTTATGAATTAACCACAATAGATGAATCAAAACAGCTGGTTCTACATGTTGGGCCAAGGAAAAAGGAGTATTAATATATTGATGACTATCTGGACTATGAATCCCTCCTATGTCATTTGGTAAGCTGCCATCAATAAAGTAAGTATCTGCTTGTGGAATGAAAGAGGGTTAGACGATTTTTGAAAAAAAAAAATCCTACAGCTTACCAGCTAGATAATGATTGAATCTGAAAATAAAATTTGAAAATCTGGAGAATTCTGTAATACTCTTAAAAACTGATTGTTAGTTCAGAGTAAGTTAATACAGCAAGAATCAAATCCATGTAATTGTTGACAAAGAGTCCTCTTCTGATTACTAATGGAGCGAGTAGAATAAAGTAAGCAGTTAGTATCTTACAGCCCTTTTGGTAAATAAATCCATTCTAAAGGTTTATCCTCTTGTACTATAATACCTGTGGGAGACAATTTAGTGGGGAAATACGTAAGTTTAAAGGTGGTGAAAGATCTGCACGATCTTGCTGCTCACGATAATATGGGAAGACTGTCTAACATTGTCTTTCCTTCTAGAGTTTTGAATAGGTTGGTTAGTACCTAAGTGGGCAAACATTTTGGCTTTGCTGAAATTGCATTGGAATTTCATGCATAGCTCATGAGGTCCTGGCAGGAATTGGTAAACAGATTCCTTTTTCCTACCCTGCCCCAGTTTGCCTAGGTTGTAAAATTAGTATTTTCATAGGATTTTCTACGTCTTCCTCAAAATTCAAGATTAGATTGATTTTTCTAATTCCTCACCCCATGCTTCAGGGTCATGGTCAGGCAATGGAGAAGGCTCAATATAAAGAAGGCTCTAGTAAGGGTGCAGAGTTATCGGTGGTGCTGTTTTTATTTTCAGTTTTGCATGAATGGGTAAAAGGTTTTTGCCTCTTTTACCAATTTAAAGGTTTGGTTATCAAGTTTATATTCATGTAAGGAATTAGCCATCTCTTTGTCATGATTAGTATCTCCTTATCTTAAGGAGATACTTATACTTAAGGAAGTATTTAGCACTCTGAATTAATGCCCAAGTGACCAAAATTTAATGTGGACCTTTCCCCCTTGTTTATATGCCTTTGAGCATTCTTTTGGACTCTGGCCCATACTTCCTTTTCTAAAGTTCCTTCTTCTGGAAACCAGGGATTATGATCCTAACAAGCAAGCAATATAATATAATACTTGTGCTCTTCCTTTCATTAAAAAATGATGCACAAGCAGGGCATTAGGCAAAGCTTTCCCTCGTTCCTGCCCCATTATTCTCACTCACCTCCTGTGAGGGTCCTTTCTCTCTTGTGTCTCTTATCAGGACTCAGGTCCCTGATTCATGGTGCCATTCGTTTACCACTCTAGAATGGCAGCAG